ACCATAAGCACTGGTTCTCCCATATCTAGTCACAGAATCATAGAACTGTTATGGCGCAGACGGAGGCCCTTCAGCCTACCATGCCCCCACCAGCTCTTCAGATGAGCATCATAATCCAGTGCCGATCTCAATAGTAATATGAACTTTTTTCTTTGGCAATGCACAAAAAGGCAAAGCAAGGCAATGCGAGGAAAGGACATTGCAAGTTTCTGAGTAGGTTCAAAGTCAGTGGGCACCCTGATAGTGAACAGCCTGGAGATGCAGCCTGGTCCAGCCCGTGAACTGGGTGCATGTCCCTGAGTGTAGGGTCCTTGCTGCAGCATTACAATGATAGTTACCAGTGCAGCCTGAGGTGCAGCATTGAAATGCAGAAATATCATGTAAGTGGATCAGAGATGTGTCATGAGGGTTCTTAGAGGCTGGCATATGTCAGATGTCAATGTCCATGTATGTGGGACTTCTGTGGCCAGTGCCCATGTAGCATATGTGATATCCAACATGGAGAACTTCTGGAGCAAGCAATGGATTGAACTTACCAGAACCTGCTCTGCTTTTCATGACGTGTTTCTCCGATGACAAGTTTGTATGTTGAGTTTAGTAAAATCACAATCTGTGGTGATTCAGATTGTTAACAAGGTTATTAATGAGGAATAATGAGTGTCAATTGGAATCCCCACTCCCTGGTGAATATCTCGCCATGCTGCTTGTGAAAAGTGTACCAGGTGTGACAAGATCTCAATATCAATATGGGCCTCACCGAATATCTCACCTGATTCTACTACATATCTCACCATAGCCCATGTCTCTCCGACCCTGATATGATTCTGCCCTCAGTGTAGTACCAAACCATATTGTCATGCCATCTGGCATCACGTCATGGCCACAGATAAGGTTCATTGGGAGACCTTTATGCTGAGAGCCTACTGCACCATCTGGATGCAGGGTTTTTTTTAAATTTATTCGTGGGACCCAGGCATCACTGGCTGGCCATTATTTATTGCCCGTCCCTAGTTATCCTTGAGAAAGTGGTGGTGAGCTGCCTTCTTGGATTGCAGTCCGTGTGCTGTACATTGGCCCACAATGTCTTAGGGAGGAAATTCCAAGATTTGACCTAGTGACAGTGAAGGAACAGTGATATTTTACTAAGTCAGCATGGTGAGTGGCTTGGAGGGGAACTTGCAGTTGGTGGTGTTGCCATGTATCTGCTGCTCTTATCCTTCTAGATAAAAGTGGTCATGGGTTTGGAAGGTGCTGTCTAAGGGTCTTTGATGAAATTCTGCAGTGCCTCTTGTACATAGAAAACACTGCTGCTACTGAGCGGCGATGGTGGAGGGTATGGATGCTTAGGGATGTGATGCCAATCAAGTGGGCTATTTTATCCTGGAAGATATCAGGCTTCTTGAGTGTTGTTGAAGCTGGACACATCCAGAAAGTGGGGAGCATTCCATCTCACTCCTGACTTGTGCCTCTAGATGATGGGCAGTCTTTGGGGAGTTAGGAGGTCAGTTACTCATACTGTATTTTTAGCCTCTGACCTGATCCTGTAGCAACTGTGTTTATGTGGTGGGTCCAGTTGAGTTTCTAGTCAATGGTAACCCCAGGATGTTGATAATGGGGGATTCAGCATTAGTAACATTATTGAATGTCAAGGGGCAGCAGTTAGAATGTCTCTTTTAGGAAAGGGTCATTGTTTAGAATTTGTGTGGCACAGAGGTTACTTGCCACTTGTCAGCCCAAGCCTGGACATTGTCTAGATCTTGTTGCATTTGAATATGGACTGCTTCAGCATCTGAGTCATCATGAATAGTGCTGAACATTGTGCAATCATCGATGAACATCCCCACTTCTGACTTTATGCTGGAGGGAAAGTCATTGACGAAGCAGCAAATGGTTGGGCCTAGGACACAACCCTGAGGAACTCCTGTGGAGATGCCATGGAGCTGAGATGACTAAACTCCAACAATCATGACCATCTTCCTATGTGCCAGGTATGACTCTAACCAGTGGAGAGTTTGGCCCCCCAGACCCATTGATTCCAGTTTTGCTAGGGCTTTTGATGACACCCTCATTTTAATGCGGCCTTGCTGTCAAGGGATGTCACTCTCACTTCACCTCTGGAATTCAACTCTTTTGTCCATGTTTGAACCAAGGCTGTAATGAGGTCAGGAGCTGAGTGGCCCTGGCGGAACTCAAACTGGGCATCACTGAGCAGGTCTGCTTGATAGCACTGTTGATGACACCTTCCATCATTTTATGAATGTTCAGGAGTAGACTGATGGGGCGATAATTGGCCAGATTGGATTTGTCCTGCTTTTTGTGTACAGGACATACCTGGGCAATTTTCCACATTTTCAGGTAGATGCCAGTTTTGTAACTGTACTGAAACAGCTTGGTTAGGGGAGCAACAAGTTCTGGAGCACAAGTACTATTGCTGGAATGTTGTCAGGGCCCATAGCCTTTTCAGTATCCAGTGTCTCCTCTTGACAGCACGTGGAGTGAATTGAATTGTCTGAAGAAGGTATTGGTGATGTTGGGGAAGAGGCCAAGATGGATCATCCATTTGGCACTTTATCAATGTATATACATGGCATTGGATCAGGCAGACATTCTTTTCCTCTCCTCTTTTAGCATCCCTAATGTTTAGTCTCTCTGCATGTAATGGTGTAACTGTCAATGAGGTGACTAGCAATGGCTGTGCCAGGGGGCTGCAATACACGGAGGCTCAATGCTATAAATGGCCAGGGAGCAAGTAGGCAGCCTACGTGCCTGTGTGCTCTATATTACACTGTATGTCCTTTAAATGTCCTGTGATGGGTAGGTGCTGCAGCCTCCTCACTCCCATCTGGAGACACTTACCCTGCCCAATATGAGTGTGGTCCGCAGCCATTTTCTTCCCCATTGTGCACTACATGGTGACAGTGAGCGGTCCTTGGTCCATCACTTCCAGCCGCAGCTTGAACATGCTAGGGCGAGTATCCAAACATTCACATATCTATCCTAGTTGCCCATCCCATAAATCCCAGAAGCTTCACCCTTACCCAAGGCTCTACCCGATCCATTTACATGTGCCCACACTAGTCTACCTTTCAGCCTAGCCCTTAGCATATGAGGAGACCATCTCCACTTGGTTACGCTCAGAATCCCTTTGAACACAGCATGCTCCTGACCATGGACAAATCTCTTCCTGGTTTACTCCCTACCTCACTTTGCTTTCCCTCCTTGTAGATCCTACTGACCCCATTTCAAAATAATCAGTCTAAAAGATTGGGTAGAGTCAGTCAGCAGCTCAGGTGTAGTCAGTCTCCATCCCATGATATCACTGCAGGACGGTAAGATAGATTCAACCGCTTCCAGCTGCCTTATCAGTGGCCTTGTTTCATCACAAAGGCAGAGGTGAGGATGTTCACTGAGTACTTCACAGTTTAATTTACTTCCTAACTTCATCAATACAGACTGCATAATCCTAGAAAGTGCCTCTCCAGGGTAATTAGAAACGGATAATAAATACTAGCCTTACAATCAATGCCTACATCTGGATCTATCTCCCAATGACCACCACTCATAACCAACCCCATTCCCACATTTGCACCTACCTGTTCTTAGCCAATGTGGTTTAGTACATTGAATATTTTTGTACCTTTGTATCTATTTTGGTAGTTCTCTCTATCTCAGCACTTCAATTTTAATAAGCATAAATCTAGTCAGTGAATCTAAGCAATAAGTACAAACTATGAGCTTCAGAAAAGATGTGATTCAAACAGTGCCCACGATGTTAAATCTAGGTTATCTTACTGTGCCTTTTGGCCTGTGCCAAAAACAGGCATGTTGTCACTGCATAATATATTATGTTTGCGCAAATAATAGTTTCTGTTCTGACATGTAACCAATGTGTTATCTGGCTAGCTGTGAACAAGGAACCTATGGGAAAAAAATTAAAGCTACAAGCACCCAGCAAACCTATGGTTATGAACATACATATAAATTTCCCAGCCTCAAAGCAGACAGCTTCCAACCCTATCCCTGACTCCCCTCAAAGTTAATGTCCAGACTGAAATATGACCAAGTTTATGTTTGAATTATTAGTTAGTAACATTTAGCTTTTCTATGTCTGAAGTTCATTAACTTTAAGTATTTCCATAGTCGTGGTGATTTCCTTTAACACAGCTTGTGAGGGCTACTTTGGCAGCCTAATGGGCTTTTATTTACTTTAGGATTTTGCAAACTAGTAAGGTACGTACTTCAAGGTTTCTGTTAGAAATTTCTGGACAAAGACTATTTTTGAAGTCTAAGGCAAACACCCATAACTTACAGGAAAAGATTTTTGTTTCAGTTTTACTTTGCTTTGGGTAGTTTTATGAAGTTTTTACATGAAGATGCATATATAGAGCAATGTTTCTGAGAAGAGAGGAGATCTAGATTATTTTACATTAAGGTGTGTGTGATAGTCCCAGACCAGTGATGAGTTAAACCCTAAACAGGATTTGAAGCTGAGTACATTTAAGAACAGAAGTTAGATAGCTCCATGAAGAAGCTGTCAGTGTTACCATTCTACAGTAAGGTTACAGTGACCTTAAACCTATCAAGGTCTTAGTGGAATGAATTCTGGTGTGAGTACTGTACAAGAGTTGCTGTTGTGTAATGTATTTGGGACTTTTTTTAATCCTGTAAAGGAGTGTTTTGGGATTAAATGTGTTTAAAACTCTGGTTTATTCTACTTTATCTAAATTTCTTTTGCTTAATAAACCTCTTTAAAACTGTTAAAACAAAATTTGCAACATGCTTCTGTATGCATGAGAGACCACCTTGTTAAAACAAAACTGAAACAAAAGATGAAATGTCAAACCAGATTTCAGTCTGGGATTGCCCATTAATAAAATCAGCCCAGATCATGTGTATTTTTAATTTCATTTCACATCTAGTGATTCCCATTCTTAGATCAGTTAGACCACTAACTTGGAGTACAATTGTAACAGAAAACATTTAATTGAAAAGCCAAAATGTAAAAAAAATATAATTTTATCAACAGTATCAGGCTTGTTATATTCAATGTTCCAGATGGATAGTAAAACAGATAACATTCCATTTGTTCACACAATCATAACAATTATCATATCTACCCATTATACACATTGATTATCACGGGTAGCTTTGTATAGAAAATAATTACAGGAAGATTAACTTCCAGACCTAATGTTTTCTTTTATTTTCTATATTTGTCACATATCTTACTGCACAATTAAATAGAATAATCTCGCAATTGCATTTAATAGTGAACTTCTAAAGAACAATACAGCTTTTTGTTCCCCATTTAAACTATGAACTGCTCTTCCCACCACAGGGAGCAGCAACTTTTAAATGGTGAATAATATCCCTCAGACAGCAACTATTTTGTAGGGACAAAAGGTATAATTATTATCATTGAGTATTGCTACAAACCAACACCTTGTCTAGTCTGCATTTCATCTAATATCCAGACTTCACCTTTGATTCTGGATACTGTTCTTCCAAAGCACATTCAGGCAGAAAGACAAACTTGTTGTTGCCTCTGGTACAGTATATAATTTCCCAGAGTTGCACTCATGTACAATCAGATGTTACAGTGCATTCAATAATCACAATCTAAATGGATGTAGATCACATATGAATCAACATTACGTATTTTTAAGGGAACTGAACCAATTAAACAATCCTAAAGTGACTATTAGTTTGCATTGTTTGAAAGGTAATCATTATACTGTCAGTAAATTACAAAACATTTTCCATCTTTTCATCTAATTTGGTTGTTCTCTCCATCCAAACACTTCAGTTTACTTTGACGGCACATAAATCTACACTATGTGGCAAAAGGTGCTAATTCTCTGAAGTTTCATTCTAGAGAATAAGTGATTTAAGCTGTGCTTGTTGTGTTGACACAAGGCTTTTTCATTATCACTTGTCCTGTGCCACAAATAAAACTAATTCCCTGCAGCCATTGCACAATATAACATGAGCATACACAAATGTTGGTAACAGGCTAAACGGCCTCAATAACACATTTGAACCTGTTGTTGCTTCAGACACTTTTTTTTCCATCTACACTGGATGGTTTCAAAATGAGTCCACTGGCCTTTTACAACATCAGATTTCTGTTTAATTTTCCAAAAGAGCCATTCATTTTTCAAATAGGAAGCCAATCGTTATCTAATATTACAATGCTGGTATTAATGTTACCTTTAAATAGGAACTTCACTGCTAAGTGGAAAATTTATTAAAACGGCACACAGGTCAGTATGCATTAAAAATATGTACACTTTCCAACATTGTTCATTCACAATTATCACTCATGTTTTCAAATCTCCCCACATAATCTGAACTGTTAAGAGTGTAAAGAATTTTTGTTTTAGTAAGCAAGAGCCCAGTACATCCTGTTGGCCAGTCATTTGGAACACTATTTTAAGAGAAGAAACAAAGTTAACAATTGTGTAAAGAATTCACCTTTGTTCACAATTCACAATAATAAAACTCAAAAAATATCCTGAACTTGACGGAGGGTATGTTTGGATATGCAGAGAGCCAGTGATGCAAGCTCTTTTCCAGTTGTTTTGTTAACTTATTTTATTTCATTTGACAAATGGAGATTATTTGTGTTTAAATGTCGCACATAATCTTATTTGAAAATAATCAAAAATATGTCTGCATATTATCCCATTTTAAAAGGTCATTAAGTCTACATACCTTAACCTAAATGCAATTTGAAATTAATTGGCTTCAGGCATCCTCATTTTCAAATTCCTATTTCTAAACCTTCTACTGACGTGAAACACACGAAGCATTTTGCCAACTCAAACTATCTTAGAATGATTTGCAGAGGGAAAGAAACGAGTAAAAAATGGAACAAATGAAATTAACAATAAATCATCTCCAAAGAAAACTGTATCCATTCAACTGCAAAAGTTACCAGTAGTTAATAAAGATAAACCTGAGAAATAAATGCACAAATTGGCCTCATATTTCCTCAAGTGTTCGTGCAGCAATTGCTATTGAATAATCACTGGAAAACAAAATGACCTGTTGGTGCCAGTTCCCTGTCTATTCTTGGATTGTGTTTGGCTTGGTAAGGGGTGAAAACTACCTCACTGCTAAAGGCTTCAGACATCAGAGGGGGTGGCCATGGGGTGGTAATTCACTCTTCTGTTGTTTCACTTTCTTGGATCAGCTAGTTTAAAAATGGAAGATGAGTGGGATGGCATGCAAACTTGTGGATGGGAGGAACTCGAGTGGGATGGTTGGAAAGTCCAGCTGCAGGGAGCCTGGATACCCTAAAGAATTATAAGTATTTTTTAAACATGGATTTGGCCTATTGCTGTAGAGGTCAGGGAAACATTTAGACTGGAGAAGGTGACTATGGAACACCCCTATCCCCCTGTGGGATTTTCACAGAACATGGAGCAGGTGCTTGCAGTAAATATACCTGCTTGTGGTTCAAGCACCTACTGGCCATAGGCAAATTAGATGCATTCAAATAACTTTGCAAGCTCTAGAGGGTTAGTGTTTAATGACACCAAAGTATTGAATTGAATCTGCTCTTTTAAAGCCATGACTCGAGTGCATCCAATTGGAAGTTGGTTAAAGAGACTGAGGTCAATCCATGTTCAGTTGCTGTTTGATGAGGAAAGTCTGTGAATTGCTGGCTAATTGTAAAATTTTCAATTCTAGATTGGAAGACTGGCATATTTTCCTTGCTGATTTAACCTATTTTTCTAATCAACCTGTTCAAAGATGTTATTAAATACCTCTGGAGCAAGTGGGACTTGAACTCAGGCCTTCCAGTCCAGATGTAGGAAGACTACCATTGTGGCACGAGTGGACCCTTTTTACACGTACTTTAGAAAGATTGAGATGTAACTGTAGTTTTCAAAATTCTGAGCAATCAGGTTACAGGAGTGCACTTCATAAGGCCACTTTAGAACAATCAATTAATTCTTGGACCATGACTTTTAAAATCATAACCTTATTAAAGCAACTGTTAATATGAAATAATGCAAACATATTACTCAATGAAAACACCTCAAAAACTTAAATCTTTGATTATAGGAAGAGTGGATAATATAAAAATATACAGAAGAAAATAATTTTTGATTAAAGCTATACAAATTTCTCTAAAAAGGTTTTACTACATTTTCACACAGATCCAGCCTGCAATCAAGAGTTTTTAAAATGGTGAAATGCCACAGTTCCTTATTGCTTCTTAATGCTATCATGAAACTAGCAGTATCACTACTGTATTAAAAAATTACAATAAAATTCTAAAAATGACTCTCATCCTCTTCAACTGATCTATTTAAGCCTGGAATGAACTTCATAAGGCGTTTCCTAACACTTGGTTTCCTACTTCTTCGAGAAACTGTCCCAAAGCCACTGTTTGAGTCCCATGATGGTGACACGTGTCCACTCCCGTTACTAGACACGCTAATGCTCCTGCTCCTACTCAGATGGGTTTTTGATGTGAATGTTTCAGGTTCCCTGTGGAAGATACATTCTTCATCCATACTGCTTCGCCTACAATGACTTCCTGAATCATCAAACACACTGAATTGGAAGTCACAATCCTCACTGTCAACAGTCATCAGGCTGAGTTGACTTCTGCAGCTGCTGTCGCTGGAAAATCTCTCTTTGTTCCGTCTGGTTGATCCAAATAATGCATTCTTGTTGTATACAAAGGAGTCTGCAGATTCTGCTGTGCTACCATTCCTCAAGAGTCCTAAAAATTAAAACAACATTGCTGTATATCTGGATATATAAAGTAGTTTGAATTATCTCATGCTCTTTGCAAGTCCGCTATTGTTGTAATTCACAACATATTTCAAAGGATGATTTGGTTTTTCAAAAAATAATAGGATACCTTTTATTCTACAATTCAAGCAGCTGAACAGTGAGTGCTAAGTACTGTTACTTATTAGCAAAATTTGAATTAGAACAAATCCAACACCTCCTCCTACCGCCCCCTTGATCATGACCCCACCCCCGAGCACCAAACCATCATCTCCCAAACCATCCACAACCTCATCACCTCAGGTGACCTCCCACCCACGGCCTCAAACCTCATCATTCCCCAACTCTGCACCACCCGCTTCTATCTCCTTCCCAAAATCCACAAACCTGACCGCCCTGGTCGACCCATTGTCTCCGCCTGCTCCTGCCCCACCGAACTTATCTCCACCTATCTCGACTCCATTTTCTCCCCCTTGGTCCAGGAACTCCCTACTTATGTCCGTGACACCACCCACACCCTCCACCTCCTCCAGAACTTCCAATTCCCCGGTCCCCAACACCTCATCTTTACCATGGATGTCCAGTCCCTATACACCTGCATTCCCTATACAGATGGCCTAAAGGCCCTCTGCTTCTTCCTGTCCCGCAGGCCCAACCAGTCCCCCTCCACTGACACCCTCATCCACTTAGCCGAACTCGTCCTCACCCTCAACAACTTCTCTTTCAATTCCTCCCACTTCCTACAGACAAAGGGGGTGGCCATGGGTACCCGCATGGGCCCAAGCTATGCCTGTCTCTTTGTAGGTTACGTGGAACAATCTCTCTTCCATACCTACACTGGCCCTAAACCCCACCTCTTCCTCCGTTACATTGATGACTGTATCGGCGCCACCTCATGCTCCCACGAGGAGCTCAAACAGTTCATCCACTTCACCAACACCTTCCACCCCAACCTTAGGTTCACCTGGACCATCTCTAACACCTCTCTCACCTTCCTGGACCTCTCTGTCTCCATCTCGGGCAGCCACCTAGAAACCGATATCCATTTCAAGCCCACCGACTCCCACAGCTACCTAGAATACACCTCCTCCCACCCACCTTCCTGCAAAAATGCCATTCCCTATTCCCAATTCCTTCGCCTCCGAAGCATCTGCTCCCAGGATGAGGCATTCCACTCCCGTACATCTCAGATGTCCTCGTTTTTCAAGGACCGTAACCTCCCCCCCCTCAGTGGTTGAGAACGCCCTCAACCGTGTCTCCCGCATTTCCCGCAACTCATCCCTCACACCCCGTCCCCGCAATAACAACCAAAACAGAATCCCCCTCGTCCTCACGTACCACCCCACCAACCTCCGGATCCAACGCATCATCCTCCGACACTTCCACCATCTGCAATCCGACCCCAACACCAAAGACATCTTTCCCTCCCCACCCTTATCTGCTTTCCGGAGGGACCACTCTCTCGTGACTCCCTTGTCCGCTCCACACTCCCCTCCAGCCCCACCACACCCGGCACTTTTCCCTGCAACCGCAGGAAGTGCTACACCTGTCCCCACACCTCCTCCCTCACCCCCATCCCAGGTCCCAAGAAGACTTTCCACATCAAGCAGATGTTCACCTGCACATCTGCTAATGTGGTATACTGCATCCGCTGTACCCGTTGTGGCCTCTTCTACATCGGGGAAACCAAGCAGAGGCTTGGGGACCGCTTTGCAGAACACCTACGCTCGGTTTGCAATAAACAACTGCGCCTCCCAGTCGTGAACCATTTCAACTCCCCCTCCCATTCCTCAGACAACATGTCCATCCTGGGCCTCCAGCAGTGCCACAACGATGCCACCCGAAGGTTGCAGGAACAGCAACTCATATTCCACTTGGGAACCCTGCAGCCCAATGGTATCAACGTGGATTTCACAAGCTTCAAAATCTCCCCTCCCCCTACCGCATCCCAAAACCAGCCAAGCTCATCCCCGCCTCCCTAACCTGTTCTTCCTCCCACCTATTCCCTCCTCCCACCTCAAGCCCCATCCCCATCTCCTACCTACTAACCTCATCCCGCCCCCTTGACCTGTCCGTCCTCCCTGGACTGACCTATCTCCTCCCTACCTCCCCACCTACACTCACCTTTACTGGCTCCATTCCCACCTCTTTGACCTGTCTGTTTCCTCTCCACCTATCTTCTCCTCTATCCATCTTCTATCCACCTCCCCCTCTCTCCCTAGTTATTTCAGAACCCCCTTCCCCTCCCCCATTTCTGATGAAGGGTCTAGGCCCGAAACGTCAGCCTTCCTGCTCTTGTGATGCTGCTTGGCCTGCTGCGTTCATCCAGCTCTACACCTTGTTATCTCAGATTTTCCAGCATCTGCAGTTCCTACTATCTCTTCCTCACACATGCTTAGTTTGGACAGTCGAGAGATTAAAGTTTAACATGCTATTAAAATATGCACTTCTGAAGAGGAACTGTACAGCAAAATAGATTCAGCATGGCCACCATGAAAAAACTCTGTTCAAAACAGAAAATCAAACAGCTCATGAGATTTCTGAGATTGGGTTTTTATTTAGATTTGAATGCCAGGGCTAACACATAGGCCAGGATTTTACAACACTTGGGGTGGGCTGATCTGTTGAGGGGTAGGGGGGTTGTAAAAGTCAGCACTATTACTGCTGCAATGCCACCTGTAGTAGGAGAGGTAGAGTCTGTATTCAGCCTGCTAGATAAAACCTGGTAGATAGGTATCCAAGAAAGGGAAGTACCCCTTCCCACAGTGGAGGCACCTCCTTTCAAGGCACCCTGTTTCCATTAGAGATGCCATCTCCACAAGGTCATTTTCCTCTATCCCCTAAGGTTTCTGCTACCATCCAACCCTGGAAACTTCTACTTCCCCAACACCTTTGCTGGGATCTGTGAGCCTGGCCCCAATGAGATCTAGAATTATGTTGCACTCCAGTCCTCATCACATCTCCTCTTCAGGGATGCCTACAGTTTCAGAAGTGGTTACTCTTTCAGGTGGTGCTGCTGGGACGAGTGCTGTCAGCCTTCTGATTCGCTGGCAATTCTCAGGAGCTAGGCCCATCTCAGAAGGGACCAGAAGTCTTTCCTGGAGCCAATTCAAGTCCTAAAGACCATTAAATGACTGCAAGGTGAGCCAGCAAATGGGTTCAGGAAGCAGTGATCGCACCCCCAGCATAAACTTCAATGCTTAGAATAGATGATGTCAAACATAACTATAACTTGTTGGCGGCACAGTGCTCAGTGGTTAGCACTGCAGCCTCACAGCGCCAGGGACCCGGATTCAATTCCACCCTCGGGCAACTGTCTGTGTGGAGTTTGCACGTTCTCCCCGTGTCTGCGTGGGTTTCCTCCGGGTGCTCCAGTTTCCTCCCACAATCCAAAGATGTGCAGGCTAGGTGGATTGGCCATGCTAAATTGCCTGTAGATTAGGTGGTTTATAGGGGGATGGATCTGGGTGGGATGCTGTGAGGGTTGGTGTGGACTTGTTGGGCCGAAGTGCCTGTTTCCACACTGTAGGGATTCTATGATGATAAATACATTCAGCTAAATACATACGAATAAATCATTTAAGTGTATCCTTCCCGCTGACAAACTACATTTAATGATCTGCTGTTACAGTAAAGCCCACACGAGGTCTTTGTCCACTCATATGGCCCTCACTCCCAATCAACAGAATACCTGACGGGAAACCCGCTTCAGAAAAAAGGAGAGAGAGAATAAATCATTTTCCACCCCATACAATCAGTTTAAAACACAAATTTAAGATGGTAAAATGGATTTTCTTTTAAAAGCAGAGTCTTAGTTTTGAATTCCAGATTGATAGCAGTTCCTATCTGCTGATTTTAAGGGTCCAATGAGACTTAGTAGTAAAGTCTCATTTCAGTTCCTGCAACTACAGCCCATCTTGAATTATTCACAAATGGGCGAGCATTCTTACCAACAACAATGGTATGTTTGGGAAACAAAAAAAAGTCTCACTGGTTCAAGAACAATAATTTTTCTAGACACAGAGAGGGTACATTTCTTTAGAAGGCAGAGGGCATTTTACTCTACATCTCTGTATGATAAATGTGCTCTGGTAGCTTTTGACGTACATTAAGGTGGAATCATCCAAAGTTGTGAGTGATGAAATCCTTTAATCATGATAAAATATAAATTCATTGAAATAGAAATGCATAGAATTTTGAAGTAGCTTCTTCATTTTAACTTTGCCATAACATGAAAATGTTTAAAATTATATTTTGAAATTTGTGCTAGCAGTAAAATGTTGACACATTGTACTCTCCCAGCCAGATCTTACCATGAACTAGGCGTTGTTCCTGTAGCAAAACTGATCTGTACTCCACCCATTTCTCTTGAAGTGTTTTCTAGCACACACAGGAAGGCAGAGTGTTGATAAAGTATAAAAATACAGATGCTACGTGCAAATGCACCTTTTCTGCAATATGTGCATTATGAAAATGCAGCATCACCTTTTCAGTAGAAGGTTGGACATTTCAACAAATTAACATAAACAAAGTACTTATTGATTATCTTTAATTTCATTAATTCACCAAAATCATATGACACTGAAGAAATAGTCAGTAAAGTAATCTTCCAAATCTATTCAAACAAAATAATAAAGAGATGCTCAAACTTTGAAATCTCAAATTCATTATTTAGTATATAGATACATTTTGATTCAGATTCAAAGGAAAATAAGGGATGGGTATCTTTATGTAAAACTGTTCAATCAGAGCACAAACTTAAAAGCACTTCTATGCTGTTTAGAAAGATAGGGATATTGACTGTCTAAAATAACTACAGTTGAGATAATTTATTTGAACTACACAGTAACTGGATTGGTGCATTTTTTTCTGGAAAGGAGAATTCCAAACTGGCTGAAAAACTGAGTCGAGCCATAGCGATTCCTTGATCAGTTGTATACATGAATAATTATTTTACAGGTACTTATATTCATTGCAATTTCTCATTATGTGTTTTACAAGATAATTAATTCAGTTTCTATTTCCATCTTGCATGCACGCTGCTGAATTGTTTGTTTGTTCTTATTATTCCACGATTGAACTAACATTCAAAAAAAAGATTGGGAAGAATACCTTTAAAAAATGCAATCTTGTTTCAAGTTGATCTCTTCTGATAGAGTCCTTATGAACAGTTAACAGGCTGTAAAGTAGAGGTAAAGTTCAGGTATAGACACAGAAAACATCGCCTGACGCAGGCTTGCACTAAAAAGATATCCGTTCCCCCACAACTGTCATTTGGTGGCTGAAATATGTAGTTTTCTACAGGATGCACTGCAGCAATGCAACAGGTTCACTTCAAACACACCTCAGCCTCCAAGCCAAACAAGTGCAGAAATATCATATGAAGATTATCGCCCTGAAGTTCCCTTCCAAGTAAATCATTCTTACATTGGGATAATGATGTCATTCGTTGTGACTGCGTAAAAATCCTAGAATTCTCTATCTCACACCATAATATGTGTGGTTAACTGCCTTCGCAGACTAACTAGCAAACATCAGTCTAATTCAAAAAACATTATTTCAGACAGAGCAAAGCAGGAGGATATTCCAAATGACACTGCATTAGGGATTAAAAAATGATGAAAGAGTGATTTTTTAAAATTTATTTAGTACTGACATATGAGCAAAGGACATTTAAATTTATTTTTTTTCAATGCTATTGTCAGGAGAAAAAGCAAAGAGTTGAACAAAACTTTGGTCAATGAGGTGAGTTTTGACAATTGTCTTCAAGAAGGAGAGCAATATGAAGAACTGAGGAAATTTTTCCAATGCTGTCATCTGCCTTTTATCCTTCCAGGAACACGTCTGTTCCTGATGTTAACAATATTCACATGGGCAGCGGAAGCGCTGGCCTCCAACTCATCAGCGTTCCTAGGCCAGTTCATCTCCTAAGGCTGGTTAAAAATCCATCTCCTGAAACTTCCAGTTCAACTGAAGGCAAGCAGGGTTCATGTCAGGGCAAGTCATCGAGACTGATAGGGTTTCAAAAAGGAAGTGCTCAGCAGAGGTCTAACGACTTGCCCTTTTGAAGTTAAAGTTACAGCAGTCCATCACAGGTCAGGGAAGGAGTCAAAATTAAGAACTTTTCCAGTTTAGGGAACAGTGGGCATAGTTGTCTGGACTCCAGCTAAGTTGCAGAAAGATGCAGACGGAAATGGATTCTGAGGTCACTGAAGATGAGCAGCAAAGACAACTAGCAGCCTCAGTGATGGCTGCTGTAGGTGCCTGAATGTGTCCTCCATTCCATTTCACCTGCCTCCATTCCTGAGACCATCAGCTTCAATTTGACATGAAATCCTTCAATTATTTAAGAACTCGCTCCACCCGGAGGCAGATTTCTGACACAGTAATAGGCTCCTGCTTCCTACCTCGGTTGGAAGAATTTGGCTTAGCCAACTGAAGGCTGGCAGTGGTTGAGCAAGGGGTGAGGAAGTGCACAGTGGATCAGAGTCAAAGAGACAGAGAAGTTTAATTGAAATGGGATTGGTGAAATTTCAGGGCCAGAGAGGTTGTTGGAAAGTAATTAAGATATAATAATACTGCTAGAAAAATATATCAGTTAAATTTGAATGGACAAATCACTAGCTTTCTCTGGCGTGTTAATTGGGTATCTGATGAGGATCACAACTTTATACCCTTCATGTGTTTTAATGCTCAGTTTTTTTTTGGCAAGGTATCAGTATTGCAAAGCTTTTGGAAGAAGAGTAAATTGTACAAAAGCGACACCAATTGAGGTCATACAGTTGCTTTGACTTCATCAGATATGTTTTGAACCCAAATATGTTTAAGAATGGCAATGCCACAGCATTGATCCCATTTTCAAACACCATAAGCTGTTATTATTACAAGTTTGAGGAAGAATTAAAATCAACAGCAAGAATGAAAATCCCATTTCAGCAAATACACCACTGAAGATCTTTCCAATTTAAATATACAGAACAGAAATGACTATTGCTAATCTGTGAATCTTCCCTTTATTATGAGAGGTGGCAACAAGTTTTCCTTGCACTCAGTGACTTAAAACACTTGTGGTGCTGTCCCTGACAGTAGCCAAAAAAAGCTTTCTGTAATCACAGTTACACCACTTCATATCCCCTACATGCTCTGTAACTTCCTGGTCTCCAGAAAAAGCACGGTCACAGTGTTTGCTTTAGTGTACTATTGGCAAAATTGAAACTGTTACTAGCTACAGAAACAGAGGATTGCTCTGGGAATCTTAATATGATACTAACCTTAATAAATTACCAGATGACTTAATTAGATCGACAATTTCTTGGTGACTAAACCCCTCAGTATCCACTCCATTGATGTTAACTAGCATATCACCTGTTATATAGAAAAAGAATGAGTGATAGTCAGACAGATAAGGAAGCTATGTAATGAATTATATGTAATTAGTTCACATTGTGAGAACATCAGAACTAAGTGGGCCAAAAAAGAGGAAGTGGATAGTTACCAGCTTTCAGCCCTGCAAAATGAGAAGGACTGTTGTCATGCACCTTGCAGACATATGTGCACCTCTGTAATGTATTAGCATTTTGCTGATCCATTCCAACAGTCTACAAGTGAAAAAAACAAAAAGACCTGTCATTTATTTCTGAAACTAATTGTAAAATTAGCATTAAGTTCTATCTTGAAAATACTGTATATATACAGTAATTTTCTCACCTGAATCTCAAATCCAAAAGTTTCATTATCTTGCTTATTTAAAACAACCATTTTTCTGTTTGGAAAACAAAAAAAAAGTAATTTTTTTATTGAATGGAATATGCATTAGAACAAATCTAACCCCTTGAAACTTATAACCATTCTGTTACTTGTAAAACAAATGGTACATGCAGCTTTCTGCATCTTCACTGTAACAACATCAGGATCACACCAACCTTTTTCTGACATCACAACAGAGTTAGATCCCGGGGAACACATTATTTTCTTATATTAAAAATCAACACTACAAAAGTATATCTTACTTTCGAAAATCTGAAGTGTCAGCCAAAGAGTTTGATCTAGTCAATGAAAGCTGCAAAAGAAAGAAAGAATCAAAATTAATGTTGTCATCAAGAATTTTTGTTTGGAGACCTAACTACATCCATTAACCTACCTCTGATCAATACTCGTCTGACTAAAACCCTCTCCATTTTTGTGCCCTGTACTATTTCTATAAATCAATTACATGTTTCACCAGGTCTTGCTAACTGTTTAATAATGTAAAAGCAAAATAAACATACTCTGTACTCAAAACACTGACCTATTTAATAATCTACTTTGCACTTGGTTGCTTTGCAATTTTTACTTATTTTGTTTTAGTTTACATTTGTGTCGAACACGCAAGAAAACTATTATGCATTGTTAAACAAAAATTACAATCTGAACAGGAAAATATTGGGAGCAAAGTATCTTTATTCTACTGGTTTATGGAGAAGCATTATAGCATCCTCTACAATGTTATCTATCTACTTGTTAGAGCTGGGCAATAATTGTTTCTGGGATGTCTGCTTTACCTGTCTGTGCCCCCGGGGCAATGTACCCAGCGTGTTGGCGAGTATCTGAAGCCGCTTGTTATCATTTTCAGCAGAGAAGCTCCGGTTGGAGATCTCGGAATAAGAGCCGTAGCTGGTTGATGAAGAATTCGCTGCCATGTAATTCGCGTTGATGTTAATTTGAAGGACACTTTGGAAAGTCATGATTGCGAATCAACCAGTCTCATCGTTGTAAAGTAACCTCCATGGAATCCAGCAAAGCGAGATCGAGCTTAACTCAAAGCGTTCACAGAAGTTGCACAGACGGAAATCAGGTCACGTGATTGGGCTTTGCAGGCACTTAGCATTTTACATCAATCGGCTACGTTTTCGCAAGTTGCTGGTGGAAAGGTTGGAGACCAAGTCTTGCCTCGCCTAACTTTTTACAATCCGACCCCAGGTTGCAGTTTCCAAGACAAAGCAATAAATTAAAATTTTAAAAGGCTGGCCAGAAAACATGGAATTGCGCATTTTGTGGTCTCATCTATGTTTTCTTCATAGTTTAAATCCATCCGATTGAAAAGCAGTTCGATTTTGATCCTGTTTTTAAAAAGTCCACAGTTACATTTTAACACCCAGGGCAGAGGAGGCCAATGCCAGTCAGTGAGTAAAATATGGTGAGAGCAGAAGTATGAAATTCTGGATCTAAAGAAATGAAGTCTTTATTCATTTCCCACTGTGTTGGCAGGCAAGAATCTCCACAGAGTGGCAAGAGGTCAATTTGCATGCTTTAGCATCTCATTTTTATCAATTCTTATCATTGTTGTTTTCCAGTTTGCTATTTATCCACATAGTGGAGAGAAACTAGGAAGTAATAACTCCAGACAGGAAAGTCTGAGCTGGTAGCTGGCTGCTCTAACCATGCTGCATGCCCCCCTAGCCTCCATCCTGTCCCACAGTCCTCAACATCTCAGGGCACACTCCATGGGCAGCAACCACCTGCATCCTTCATCCATGGAAGTTGGCATTGGATATGCACCAGCCTCACCAAGTCATCAGCTTCACAAGGTCAGGAAAGAGGGATCACATTCACAGCGAGAGATAGCCAAAGTGAGGATATAGTTTGGGGACTTTGGCAGCAGCTTGGAAAATTGATGCAGAGGGAAAGAGGTGCTTTTTGCTTGCTTTCTTTTGGCTCATGGTTTGTAAGGTTTTTTTTTTAAACAGGATAAATTGAAGCCCAGGATCAGGGACCCAGCACAAAAGAGTGGTGTCACAGGTAAACCATAAGTTCGTTGGTTGGTGAAAGCTACTAATTTGACTATTTTAAATTATCTTCAAATTTAGGGTAAACCGGTGAAATATGTACAGGTTACAAACTAAAAGGCCAGTACTTTTTTTTAAATCAAGTGAAGAATTAAGTAATTAAAATAGAGATGCCAGGCCAGGCGAAGTGTATGAACTGGGAGCCGGTGGACCCCATTGTGATTCATACTGACCACATCTGCAGCAAGTGTTGGTTACTTGAGGAAGTCTGGCTCAGAGTTGATGAGCTGGAGTTTGAGCTTTGAACACTGAAACAACATCAGGGAGCGGGAGGGTTACCTGGATGGACTGTTTCAGGAGGTAGTCACACCCCTAAGATTAACTACCTCAAATCTGGTCAGTGGTCAGGGATGGGAGAGTGTGACTATGAGCGAGGAAGGTAGAGAGATCCAGGAGGTAGTGCTGAAGGGGACTCAGCCCTTGAGCTTGTCTGAGATAACAAGGTGTAGAGCTGGATGAACACAGCAGGCCAAGCAGCATCAGAGGAGCAGGAAGGCTGACATTTCGGGCCTTGAGCTTGTCTAACAGGTTTGAGATTCTTGCTTCTTGTGTGGATGAGAGCGGAGACTGTAGAGAGGATGAACAAACTGACCTTAGCACCGTGGTACAGAGAGCCATTCTAGAGGGGCAGAGAAATGAAAAATTTAGTTGTATTTGGAGACAGTATAGAGACAGGGGAATAGACAGTGTTCTCTGTGGCCAGGATTGAGAGTCCCGAAGGGTGTGATGCCTGCCTGGTGCTCGGGTTCTCTCATCTGGGCTGCAAATGAATTTCGAGTGGGAGGGTTAAGATCCGGTTGTCATGGTCCACGTGGGTGCCAATGATATAGGTAGAAAGAGGAAAGAGGTTCTCCTGATTGAATATGAGCAGCTGGTGGCTAAATTAGAAAGCAGAACCAAAAAGATAATACTCTTTGGATTACTTCTGAGCGATGAGGAAACTGACACAGGGCGAAAAAAATTAGAGGTAAACATGAAGCTCAAAGATGGGTGTGGGAGAAACGGGTTTAAATTCATGGGACAATGGTACCAGTGTTGGGGATAGAGGGAGCTGTTCTGATGGGATGGGCTCCACCTGAATCATGCTGGGATCAGAGTCCTGGCAAATCATCCTGGGGTGGGGGTGTGCTGTCAGTTACATGGAAAGTTATGCAAAATATTTAAGTTGGGGTGGGCGGATGTTTTCGCAGAGCTTATTACAGTTTCCACAACAAGTAAGAGACAGAAAGGAGAAAAAGATCAGGAATGTAACTTCAGGCACAGCAGATAAAGGGACAGCTATGACAATTGGGCAGTCAACGCAGGACTGAAGGTGTTGTACTTAAATGCATGCAGTATATGAAACAAGGTAAGTGAGCTTGTAGCGCAGATTGAAATTGGCGGGTGCAATGCTGTGGGTATCACAGAGACGTGGCTGCAAAGGGCTGGGGAGTAACTATCCAAGGACATCGAAAGGACAGACAGAATGGGTGGGTTTGCCTTGTTAGTAAGAAATGAAGTTAAATTGATTGCAAGAAGCGATACAGAATCTGAAGGTGTAAAATCTGTGTGGATAGAGTTGATGAACCGCAAAGGAAAGGAGATCTTGATAGGTGTCGTGTACAGGCCTTCGAGCAGTAGTCAGAATATGGGGGAGAAAAGAAGTCAGGAGATAGAAAAGACTACACCACTGAATTGTGGAGGAGATAGTTGAGGAGATTGTAAATCACTGGAGTCAGCGAGGGTCCCAGAGGACTGAGAAATGGCTAATGTAACACCCCTATTTAAGAAGGGAGAGGAGCAGAAGACAGGAAACTGTAGGCCAGTTAACCTGACCCCGGTCGTTGGGAAGATTTTAGAGTTCATTATTAAGGATGAAATTGCAGAGTACACGAAAGTGCATGGTAAAATAAGGCTGAGTTAGCACGGTTTCACTAATGGGAGATCATGCCTGACAAATTTGTTACAATTCCTTGAGGAGGTAATGAGCAAGTTAGACAAAGGAGAGCCAATGAGTGTGATATTTTTGGATTTCCAGAAGTCCTTTGACAAGCTGCTGCACAGGAGGCTACTAAATATGAAAACAATACATGATGTTAGGGGGTAAGGTACTGGTATGGATAGAGGATTGGCTGACTGGCAGAAAGCAGAGTGTGGGTTTAAAGGAGTCTTTTTCAGGATGATAGTCGGTGAGTAGTGGAGTTCTGCAGGAGTCTGTGTTAGGGCCATAACTATTCATGTTATGCATTAATATAGGAAGGAACTGAGGGCATTGTTACTCAGTTTGCTGATGATACAAAGGTAGCTGGAGAGACAGGTTGTGTTGAGGAAGTGGGGAGGCTGCAGAAGGACTTGGTTAGCTAGGACAGTGGCAAAAGATTGGCAGGTGGAGTACAATGTGGGAAAGTGTAAGATTATGCATTTTGGTAGGAAGAATAGAAGCATTGACTATTATCTTAATGAGAAAAGGCGTTGGAAATCTGAAGCACAAAGGGACTTGGGAGTTGTAATTCAGGATTCTCTTAAGGTTAACATGAAGTTTCAGTTAGCAATTAGGAAGGGAAATGCAATGTTAGCATTTATTTCAGGAGGGCTAGCAGACAAGAGCAGAGATGTACTGCTGAGGTTGTGTAAGGTTGTGGTCAGACCGTATTTGGAATATTGTGAATAGTTTTGGGCCCCGTATCCGAGGAAGGCTGACATTGGAAGAGGTCCAGAGGAGGTGTACAAGAATCATCTGGGAATGAAGGGTTTGTCATATGAGGAGTGTTTGAGGACACTGGAACTGTATTCAATTAAGCTTAAAAGGATGAGGGGGTTCTGGTAGAAACTTACAGAATACTGAGAGGCCTAGATAGAGTGGACGTGGTGAAGATTTTTCCACTTGTGGGAGAGACTAGGATCTGAGGGTTTGGCCCCAGAGTGATAGGATAACTCTTTAGACCCGAGATGAGGAGGAATTTCTTCTGCAGATTGTGATGAATCTGTAGAACTCATTGCCACAGAAGGTGTGGAGGCCAAGTCATTGAATGTATTTAAGACAGCGATAATAGGTTCTTCATTAGTCAAGTGATCAAGAGATATAGGGAGAAGGCAGGAGAATAAGGTTGAGAAACACATCGGCCATGATCAAATGTGGAGCAGACTCAATGGCTGGCTGGCTTAATTCTGTTCCTCTATCTTATGGTCATATCATAGTATATCTCTGGTTCACTTAGTTCAACACTTCAATGCTGCTTTCTGGAATGCGATATCATCTTACATTGTAATGATAAGCCACACTACATCCCACGTACAGATGAGTGGCCATCTCAAGAATTGGAACCGCAGAATCTGAGGGCTGTTAGTGTATTCTCATAGCGCTCATTCACTTTATACCTACTTGGATGCTTACAACACCTCTGCTGTGCCTTTCCTTTTCTGCACATTGCTGCCTCATTCGGAACTTACAGCCTCAAAGTACTTCTTCATGCATGGCGCATTAATACAGAAACAAAGAGAAAACAAGGTGCAGAGCTGGATGAACACAGCAGGCCAAGCAACATCAGAGGAGCAGGAAGGCTGACGTTTCAGGCCTAGACCCTTCTTCAGAAATGCATTTATGCAGAAATTCCATTTCTGAAGAAGGGTCTAGGCCCGAAACGTCAGCCTTGCTGCTCCTCTGATGCTGCTTGGCCTGCTGTGTTCATCCAGCTCTGCACCTTGTTGTCTCAGATTCTCCAGCATCTGCAGTTCCTACTATCTCTAATACAGAAACAAAGCTAGGCAGCCTGCCATGTTTTCCAGGCCACTAATCCTCGCCAGAAGCAATATTGACCATTCCATTCCATTGCATGGCTTTGAGCACATGTAATATCATGAGCTGTAAAGATTTGCCTTAGTTCCACAATTCACAATCACCTTACACAAGCTGCACAAGGTCCGCCTTACACAAGCTGTACTTTTATCCTACATGTCATGTCATGTTGTCTCCAGGGAGAGGCAAAATAAAAGCTTTTTCAAGAAAAAAATA